GCATGCATGCATGAATGGATGGATGGGTGTACAGATAAATATGTTTGCGTAGGCGTTTTTCATACACATACATGTACACTTTTGGGAAGGGTCCCAGTCCCGAGCCTGAGGTTGCCTTGACGTCGGCACATCCAAGAATACCTATGGAACGGGTGGGAACCTCACAGTTTTTGAGGGCCTCTGGATTCGTGGTTTCGGGGCTTTTGAGAGGTTGTGCACCGAGAGGTATCTGAGGGTTGTTGAATAATCGGTTAGGATGATCTTGTAGTGTAGAGAATTGTGATGCGTTTTCGAGTGCTGATACAAGTTTATTTTCGCATAAAGCCTTGGCGTTTGGAGTTTTATTCGCCACACCCATGATCGAATCATGCTGCTTGGCCTCTTTGTCTCTCAAATCGTCACAGATTTAGGCATCAGCGTCGGAGGATACATGGCTGCAGGAGCAGGTCTCAAAATTTGAACAAGCTTGCGTGGCTCGCAGTGATCAGGGGCATTCCGGAGTGTGTCATGAAACGGACAGCCTGCTCCGCGGCTTCGATGGTTTGTTGATGAAAGAGAAGATGCTCAGAGTCGTCAAGACTTTTGGCTTCAGCTCAGCGGACGTCCACACCTATACAAGGTATGGCGCCAACTTCTTGCAGGTCACTGCCGACTGGGGTAGGCTTCGCCGTGCTGCCGGAGGCGAGCAGAAGGGCCCGCCTCAGGGAGGGCACATCCAGATCTGCAGCCTGGCAGCAAATTGTCTTTCCGAGGAAAGCCCTGCGTCATCTTGTAATGTTGAAAGACAACTCGGAACTGCACAAGACATAACAATCATCATGCATGCTTTCGATTCATGCTGCTTGCTGATGGTTGTACTCTGAAATTGCAAACATGTTCCGGCTTGCCGTTGTGTTCTGGTCGGGAGAGGACACCGGAGTATAAAACCTTTCAGGGGTAGGCGAGCTTTCGTGGTCCCTGGTTCCCTGAGTGACTGCGGTTAGCGACTCTCCAAGCCTGCCTTTCGAAGCCCAAAAGCTTGCTGCATGTGCGATGCCTTCGTGGTTTCGCTCAGGCGCTCTCTGTCAGGAAGAACGGCCAGTCGTTGCGCTATCTCCCTGTGGCCATGTGATATGCCTCACCTGCGAGCAGCAGCGCCCCAATCGACCTCAATGCCCGTGTCTCGCTTTCATCATAGTTTGTTACTGTGCGTGGGTCTGTCGAGCAGCTGGGGTCACACTGGGAGCACGGACCACAACCTTGAAAGGAGGCCTTAACCAGAGAAACGTACATGGGTTTGCTGAGTAGCTAGAAGTCATATTTGCTCTCCTGCTTTACGACCTCATCGAACATGTCCAACCGCCTCAGGTTCTGCCGCCAGCAGGTGAATTCTGTGACACACGGCCTCTTCCTCAATTGAGGAATGAGGTGCCAGTCTTCGTTGATGTTCGTTAATCGGATGAGCCTCATCCGCTTGGTCGTTGAGTCGTTGAGCGATTTTGCAAGACATTGAGGTGACGTTCGATTCTGGATCTACTTGACTCACGATTTTTCATGTTCTTAGCATCGTGACTAGTGTAGACCGGGCGTAGACAATCAATGCTTTTCATGATCTTGCATTATCGACATTCCCTGCTCTCCATGATCTTGCATTGTCTTTTCGGCCTCTTCGACGATTCGCTTTCTGTGGGGCAACAGACCCCGCCGGAAGAGTGTTGATTCCGTTTGTTTAACCAATCGTGCAACATTCGATTCTAGCATGATTTGTGCACGAAGCAGTGCTGGCTGCGTCTTGGCTAGATGCGATGTGGTTCGCGCATCTTCCTGAGCCGCGGGCATGTGCAGCAGCTCAGCTCTTGGTGTAGTGGAAAAGTATGCTCGTGCAGATGCTTGATGGACAGCTTTAGGGTCCTGCACCTTCGGATCTGTTGGGATCAAGCAGGCTGCCCCTAAGGTAACCACTCACTCGGCTTCAGAATCCTTCCTGCATGGACTTGCTGTCTGGTTCGATACAGAGGCTTGTGAACTTAATTCGCATGAAGCGTTGTGGAGTTGACTTTCCAAAAAAGGGCTGTATCGTGTTGTTCCTCCTGCGGAAGATTGCGATCTAGTTTGAGTGTTCGGAGTGGTGCGAGTTGTAACATAGCTAGAAGATCATTGCTGGCTTTCTGACAGGATCCCTCAAGGCAGTTCCAGTACCATCAGAGCATCGAATGCTCCGCTAATCACACTCCACCTATCCTGAAACCCTTAAACCCTAAACCCTAAACCCTAAGCCCTGCCCGGCCCATTTAGGCTGCTTCATGCTGCTGAACACCGGCGGCGACGCGGTGCCCTCGAAGCACGGCCTGCTGACCACCATCGGCTACCAACTGGGCCCAGAGGCTCCCAGCCTGCCTACTGCGGGGAGCTTGAATCATAGTGCTAGGGGTCCCGAAAGTCCCCAGATAGTTATATCAGAATGCCCCAAAATCTCGTTCTAGTTCTCCTTCTAGCTTTTGAGAATGAGTGAAGATCAGGCCTCGAGAACGCACCGAAGAAAGCTCAACGAAGAATCAGCAGATATCGAGACTGTGAGCCATGAGTTCGTCAGTTTCAAGAGACTCCTACATTCACAGTGCTCACCCGCCAAAAATCCCCCAGTCATGCCTCAGACAGCTTCCGGCCGAGCCAGGAGAAGGTTACGTATGCGCTGGAGGGCAGCGTGGCCTGCGCGGGGCGCGTGGCCGCTGGGTCTAAGGAAATTGGAGGTGCAGGGCAGGGGGTTCGGGCCCTGAGCAAAAAGGAAGTTTAGGGTTGAGGCATTCAAGGAAAGCTTATAGCACCTGCATGTATCGTTTAGGCCTCTATGTTGGAGTTTCGGGGCTTCGGGCGGATTTGGGGATCTCAAACCATCAAAAACAAAAATGCCAGAAGGACTGCCGGGGACAGGGTCGTCTCTGGAATATTGAACCACTTTATATCAAAGGTCTTGAGCCGGAATTTGCCTTCAACCCTAAGCCATTCAGAAAGGACTGTTGTGGCGTGGCGTGTGTACTGCAGTAGTCTAGAAGGATCTGAAGTAGTGATAGCCAGCCACGACAGATCTTTCTCCATCTATTAGCTTCTCTCCCGCACCGCTGTTCTGAAACAAGGTCGGAGTTTGGAGTAGAGTCTCCTGTTCCCCACAAAAAGATCAGCCAGAAAGCACTCCAACAGGGCCTCTAGAACCCAAAGCCTAGACATAAACTCTCTAAACCCGAACCCTAAACCGCGGGCCCAACCAGATGTTCTGGAGTCCTTCGCCGAGGTTCAGTGGCTCCGTGACAACCTGGGCATTATCAGCTCGTCGAAGGCCCCGAGCACTGGCGAGACAAAGTACTGACGAGACGATACTCCGGAATGAAGGGTTTTTCAGTTTTTGAGGTGTTGGTTTTTAGGGTTGAGGGCTTTTAACTCAAGATTTGGGGGTTGGGGTTGAGGGCTTTTAGTTCAAGAGTTGGGGGTTGGGGTTGGGGGCTTTCAATTTAAGGTCTGGAGTTTAGGGTTGAGGGCTTCTAGTTTAAGATTTAGGGGTTGGGGGTTTGCAGCTTATGGTCCAGGATTTATGGTTGCAGGTTCATAGTTTGGGGTTTAGGGTTAGAATGTTTAGTTAGAGGTTCGGTGTTTAGAGCTTCGGACATAACTAGGGTGCCCTGAAGAAATGATCTATTCCCCGGAACGGAACGCCAGGCTTGTATTCGCGTTCCTGCCTTCATAACCCCGGTGTCAGCATGACATACTGTGCCCTAAACCTTGTACCTTGCAGTTTTGTCGAGATGGATACTCCTGTTAAAGAGTCCCGTCACAGTGCACTGCTTGCAAGTTGCGGACTTTGAAAGCGGGAACCCCGTAGCCCAGAGCAGCCCATCACACTTCTCAAGCCTAAACCTTCAGGATATATGGTTTGAATTTGCAGAGATGGGTGCTCTAGTCAACGCTTTGGCTCAAATGGGCATCTCATGCCTGGACGGTGAGTCCTGACTGCAAAGCCCAATGATAGGCTTCCGAAGCGTGAAGTTGCCCTGAGCCCCACACAAATTTAAAGCTCCAAGTCAAATCCTGCGACCTGAAGTGTCAAAACCGCACTCCATGGTGCTGCAAGCCTCAAGGTTTTACGCCCCAAGCCAGAAAGTCCACAAAAAATCCGAAATCCGGACAGCCCGGCACCCCTAAAGCCTTCAATAACCGAAAATACCAGTAGGGCAGAAGCAGCCCTGAATTTCAGGACGTGGAGACGCTGGCTGGGAAGGTGGAGGCCGGTTGCATCGCAGCTGCTTCAGGGCCACTGAGGGCTAGGGGTTTGGAGTTTACGGTTTTTAGGGCCGCAGTAAACCCCAGACATCCCCAAACTTAATGTAGGGGTCTTAATAATTAGAACAGGGTTTTGGGGTATATTATACTAGAATCATACTAAGGACCCCCCCCAAAAAAATATATAGTATAGGCAATTATTTAGGCCCATATATGAACACACAAACCCTCAGTAAACCCCTGACAGGTTTAGGGTTTAAGGTTTAGGGATTAGGGTTTAGGGATCCCCAAACTTAACACCCGAAGCCCGTCTTCCGTTTTACAGGACACTAGACTATAATTCTATAATCATATTAATTAAGGAACCCCCAAAATAGTATAGGTAATTAAGGAACCCCCAAAATAGTATAAGAACTTATTAACACCTCTTCCGTTTTACAGGACACCGGGGGCCTCACCCTGGTGCCGGCCTTCTCGGGGCTCTTCGCACCACACTGGCGGGACGATGCGCGGGCGGTGGCCGTGGGCCGTGGCCTCGGTAGGGCCTTGCGACTGTAGATGGGCTTATAGGGTTTAGGGTTTAGGGCCTTCAGGGCCTTTAGGGTTTAGGGTTTAGGGCCTTTAGGGCCTTCAGGGCCTTTAGGGTTTAGGGCCTTTAGGGTTTAGGGTTTAGGGTTTAGGGTTTAGGGGGGTTTCAGGATATACTTGAAAGACCATGGGACTTAGCAAGAAGACTGCAGCAAGGGTTGCAAGTGCCCTCCCTCAGCTGGGACTTAGGCTTGGGGTTAATTGTGGGAACTTAGAGTTTTAGGCTTTGGTGTTTCAAGGTGTTAGGACGGAGGGTTTTAGGTTTAGTGGTTCAGGGTAGTTGCTGAAGCTGCCAGTGTTTTGCGCACCACCGCTGCTATGCTCAGTGCGACGACGACAACTGCAGCTGCTACTGCATGTGCTGCACTGAAATTTTCTTGTCTTTCTAGCAGGTCGTCGTCGTCGTCTTGTCGTCGTCGTAGTGGTAGCAGTCATCGTCGCGGTGGTGGTGGTGGTGGTGGTGGTGGTGGTGGTGGTAGCAGCAGCAGCAGCAGCAGTAGCAGTTCCGCCCGCTGCACATTTCAAGGCATGACGCTCTTCACCAGCAAGGAGCACATGTGCCGTGCCGCCTTAGAATCCACGGCCTTCCAGGCCGTGGACATCATGGAGGCATCTGGGATTTCAGGAGATGCGTTGTTCAGGAATTCAGGCTCAGGGACTGAAGGTCAGGGCTTTGAGACTTTGGTGTCTCGGGTTCGGGGTTGAAAAGGGATGCAACACAGAGGTTTTCTGAGACAGGCATTGGTTTGGATCGATGAACAGGGCTTGGGGTTTCGGTTGTAAGGTTGCAGACATTTAGTCATGCGCCTCGCTGTCTGGGCTGTGATCTACAGGCTATGACTGTTTTTTTAGCTCCTTCTCCAACCTAACCCCAAAGTTCACCGAGCATTTTGGTCAGATAAGCCTTTCCGGGAAGCTGCTTTGCACGACTTTAGGGTGTTCACGGGTGTTGCAGTCCGTGGACCGGAGCAGGAAGACAGAACTCCAAGCATGTCCTTGTGAAACCGTATCATGCGGTGCGCAAAGTCCCAACGCGACCCTGCGAAGGCAATGAAGCAAGATACCGGCCTCCGCCTCCGGGACATGCGCGTGGACGGCGGGATGACGGTGAACAGCCTGCTGATGCAGATGCAGGAGCCGGAGTGTATGGACCAGGGTATGCTTTAGGCTTCAGTTTTGGCGGTTTCGGGGTTCACAAGGTTAACGGCACACGGCTGGTTCACGATAGGGCCGGTAGGGTTTGGGTTGTGGGCGGTGTGGGGGTTCGGGTTGGTGGCTCGTGACTGGAGTTGGAGTAGGTAGGGCCCGCGATAGGTACCCTACACCTTGAACCGGAAGCCCTGGAACCCCTAAAAGCCGCAGAAACGGGCTTAGGACCTGACCTTGGGCCAAGTAAGATTGTGGACCAAAAGGCTTGGCGAACGGGAGGTCCGTTTAGGATCTCGACGATGCCTTGAAGAGTCCATCTCTCGGGGGAGTTGTGGCCTCAACATCTCCATAATCACAGACGTGAGAACACCGTCACTACCCCCCGTGCACTGTCCATGTAGCAATCCTTACTGTAGCTTGAGCACCTCGCGTACTAGTTTTGACACAAGCCATGAGCGGATGTAACGAAGGCAGCACAAATCGAAGACAGGGGAAAGGAACTTGAATGTTTAGTACGCAGCGCATATAGCGGCATACATTGCCAATTGGCAGCCAGTGAACCCTAAAGCAGGATACCTGAACCCTGAAACCCTACGTCTAAACCCTATAGCCCTGAAGCGTACACGCTGAAGCACTGAGTTGCCCTGAATTGACCCCTGAAATCCTTAAAAACCCATAAAAAGCCCGGTGGTCTTCCGGAGGCAGACATCCTCGGCATGAGCGTGCTTCGCTCGAAGCTGGCGGAGGCTTTTAGGGTTTGGGGCTGAGGGTTTAGGGTTTAGGGTTTAAGGCTTAGGAGTTTAGGGGTTTAGGGTTTAGCTTCTCTCAAAGTTTAAAATTGACTCAAGCCCATTCGTGGCCGTAGGTGCCCTGTCAGTTCCTGGCCTTTGCGCCTTCCCTGCGCCTTCCTGCGGAGAAAAAGGAGTCAGCTAAACAAACAAAAAACTTAAACCTAAGGGGCTTGCTTGATATGAAGGCTGATACACTGCAGGCAAGAGCTTTCGGCCTGATAGCTTGCGAACAGACTTGCAGCCGAGCGAGCGCTTCGGACGTTGAAGTAAGCCCCAGCAGCTTATACCGATACTGGCGTTCGTGGAAATGAAGCGCTTCGGCCACAGAGGCTACGCATTCTGAGTATCGTGTTGGCAGGAGCTCACGCAGCGTAGCAGGGGATAATTACCTGAGTGAAAACATCCGACAACAGCTCGCAAGAGATGATGGTTTTCGATGGTGGAGTCCCGCGACTGGTTTGATAGAAACAGGACTAGGTGCAGAAGATGTTCTACAGTGCCAGGCTCGAAACACGAGTAATGTAGAGGCCTTAGTAATTAGAATAGGGTGTTTGGGGGTTCCTTGTTACAGTTACAGTCTAGTATACCCCTAAACCCTATTGTAATTATTTAGGCCCCTACATTATTGAGGTCTGAGAACTGAATCCTACACTCCAAACCTCCTCAGCCTCTTGGAAACCTCAACGCATTCTTCGGGCCTTGAGCTCCGTGTCAAAGAACCCAAAGCCCCAAAGCCGCAATTCTTCAACCCGACATGCAACCCTTGACTCCTGGAGTTTTTTGGAAAAAACGTAGAGCCTCTGAACCCAAATCCCAAAAGAAACGGAAAAAGCGCAGAGCCCCTGAACCCAAATCCCTCAAAAACCAAAAGCATCCGAAAGCCAGGCCACCGCCCTCGGAGCAGCCTTGGCGGTGGGGCTGAGCGTCGGCTTCTACGAGAAGAAGGCTCGGAGCTCCAGTTCATCTCTACCTTAGACTGGGCTCTTGTTAAGGGATTTAATAATTTAAGTTACCATAAGAAGGAAACCGTATTATTTACTACAGGTCCCCATCATGGTAGCTTGAATAAAATCCCCTGACAAGAACCCAGAAGAAGGTCTTACGGGTAGATAGCAGCTCGAGCGGTTTGCGGTTCCATATCAACTTTCAGCGTCTTCGCAAGCTGAAGTTGTAATGTCGGGTCGGGTGCTAGCGCTGTCTGGCTTCAACGTAGGAGCCGAAGCAAATGCCACCAGTCTCTTGAACTCCGGCAGGGCAAAGCCTAAATCCTGTTCTACGTTCCATAAGGCACCTCAATTCCTGCGGAATCCTTCACTAACCAGGCATGGCGGCACGGTATTTCGAAAGTGCCCTTGACGTCAAAAAACCTGATGGCTAAACCCCCTGAATTCTAAACCCGAAGCCCTCAAGGCTCAACCCCCGAAGCTTACATCCTCAACTCCACTCCTTAAGCCCAGAACTCCCAACCCTACACCCCCAATCCTCAACTCAACACCCAGACCCTAAACCCTAAAACTTCCAAACCCAGACCCTAAACCCTAAAACTTCTAAACCCAGACCCAGACCCTATAAACCCCAAACCCCAAGACCCGACACCCTAAACCCCCAGACTCGGTCCCCAGGAGGTGGTGAAAGACATCATCGAGAAGGCACGGTGCTCTTCGTCACTGGGCTCAGGGCTCAGGGCGTCGGACCGACAGTTGAGGGGCTTTCTTTACGGTGTTCCTTTCAGGGTTCCTTTCAGGGTTCCTTTAAGGGTTCCTTTAAGGGTTGCTCTAAGGGTTGCTGTAAGGGTTGCTATGGGGTTCTATCAGGTTCTATTGGGGTCTATGAGTTTTCCGTTAGGGTTTGGGGTGGTACGCTCTAAGTCTTCGCTGGCTTGGGAGGTCAGAAGCCCTAAGGCCAGACCACCTAACCCCTTAGGGTTTAAGGGTTTAAGGGTTTAGGGTTTAGGGCGTCTGCCTGCGTGGGGCTGAATATCCATGCACCGATGGCGCCACCCCACTTCCAGGGATCTGTGGGTGGCGGCACATCCTGCGCCCAGCGACCCAAGCATGATGTCGTTAAAAAATCCATCGCAACTGGGATTTTACCCACCCGCTGTGGGAAGTCACAGGCTACCACCCAAATTACTTCCTGTTAGGGTTTAGGGCTGTGCCCTCAATTCCCACCTCAAGATGCAAGGGCCTTGCGGGTTTGTGGGATTTTGGCAAGTGCCCCCCTAGGACCGGCCTGGAGCCCCCTGGGTCCCTGGAATCTGCTCGCTGGGGGAGGTTCCCTTTTCTTGGGGGTGGAACCCTCGACGTCGTTGTGAGGCGCCCGCCCATCGATGTACGGGAAGAGCCCGGAGGAGTAAAGGGTGGGAACGGCCCAAGCAGGCCGGGTGGGAATTTAAGGGTTTAAGGGTTTAGGGCTTAGGGCCTTCGAAAAGCTCATTCCCGGGAAGCCTCCAGCGTAGATCTGGCAATAGGGGTCGGAAGAATCAGGCACAGTATCCCCTTATAGTCTCTCTATAGTTATCCCCTTACTTTCCTCAGAACCCTACTCTGTTCGAATTCTGCACGCCCCTCAGAAACTCCCACGCGGAGGCTGGCGGCTACGAGGTTTTCCCATCCTCGACCACTTCGGCGGCGCGGAGGAAGATGATGCAGCGCTGGAAGGCGCGTCGGAATGGTTTTGGCTGGTGCAAGAGGTGTCGTGAAGTGTCCTGTCGGTGGAGATGAAGGAGAAAGTATGATGATGATGATCATGATGATGATGAGGCTGTGGAGAATGCTAGCCTTGACAGCTTGCTTTTGGGAAGTCAAACTGGTAGCCCCGACCACGCAAGACATTGCTGCCATCGCAGTCTTAATATGCTGAGGCTCCTATCCTGACTGCTAATTGCAGGTTCATATCACCCTAGCTTGCAATTGGTTTAGGTCGATGACGGTGTTTAAGGGCTGTTTGACTGCTTAGCAGTCATCCATGTTCTACAGGCATTACCCGTAGGTGCCCTCGCTTCTGAGCCATGGTTTCCCAGGTTGAGGGATCAGGCTACCAGTTCATGTTGTCTAAGGGCCCTGATTTCTTACGTAGCAGTTCGGTGCCCAAAGGGGGGTTGTATGGAACCCTAAACCCTAAACCCCAAAACCCTAAACCCTAAACCCTTAAAACCTAAAACCCTAAACCNNAAAAGCCCTAAACCCTAAACACCCTCTGCTTGGGGCGGGAGGACGCCGTGGAGAGATCTTTTGACCTGGCCAAGTTCGACCCCAAGCGCCCCGATCAGGCAAGGATCGAAAGGGGGGGGGCTTGTGGATTTTGCCAGCTTCAGGGTTTATGGGGTTTAGGGTTTAGGTCGACTGTGGGGCTCCGTTACTGCTCTGGTGGCTAAGCCCGAGTGACTGGGCTGGGCGTGGGAAGTTTGGTGTTTTGAAAGAGTTGGGGCCTCCGGTCCCTGAGAGCCTTCGCTGGGTTAGAGCTGGGTGTGGTATGCGGGGCGTTTAGGCGCCTTGTAGGGGGCTCTGGAGTTTGGGTGTCGGGCTTAGTGTTTCAGACCCTGAACCCTAAACCCTA